AGTTTCAGCGTGAGGTTGGTGAGGCGGCCCGCTGTGAGGAACAGAGGTCTCTGAGCGCGCAAAACGATCATGTTTTGGATGCGTCCCAGCTGCGTATCCTTCCCGGACAGCGACGGGTGGAAGGACACGTAGGTCGCCGAGGACAGCCGCGTCGACTGCGAGCGTGGGTTCAAATTAGGTCAAATATGTGAAATACATCGCACACAGTTCTCAGCAGTGGACGAATGTTGCCCTCATTACAGCCTTAGCCACGACGTCACCGGAATAGCAGAAGGTGAACAGCTGAATGAAGGTCCACATCACGTAAACGGCGCTAAATGCGATGTCCTGGGGTACCACCTCCTGCGTCTGTGGGGCCCAGGCAGAATATCGACTGTTAGCAAGTGCCAGGCGGGGCTGGGGGCGGGCTAACTCACCTTGTCCAGCATGCGGAAGAGCGGGGTGCCTAGGCCGAAGAGGATGTAGAACATCTGGCACAAGGCGATGGTGCAGAAGATGGACTCTGAAGCGCTGTGCAGCCTGCAAGCAAACAGATGAAGGGCTGTTCGGCTCTGACGGGATGCTCCACGCGCGCCTCAGCCGCGACCTAACCTGATGATGTGCTGGTGGTAGACCGCGCACAAGCGCAGGCGCTCCCACTCCTCGGCGGCGTCCTGGAGGCCAATCTCGTCGGTGTCCCGGCGCACCGCCTGCCGAAGCATCAGGACCAGCACGTCGCACTTGCAGACTATGTGGAGGCTCAGCGTGATAACCAGGCCGTCAAAGACACCTACAATGCCAGGGCGTTGATGCGTTGTGCACCCTAGTACCCCCCCGCCCCGACACCGAACTCCGAAGTTAAACAGGCGGGTCCCCGTGTCAAAGCGGGGTGGCCGGAGCGCCTTACGGGCAGTGCGGCAGTGTGGCACTAAGCTTTTGACGTTAATCACCCCCGTGCAACCGGCAGTTAAAATACCTCTTAGAGCTGGATTCATTTTACCTGCAAAATTATCAAAACTGAAAAAAATGCGGGCCCTACCCACCCCGCTTTGACACGGGGACCCGCCTGTTTAACTTCGGAGTTCGGTATGGGATCCGGTGTTTTCAGGCACCCAGCTGAGGGCCAGGTTTCTTGACTATCTCGCTCACACCGGAGTTTACAGCCATCGACTAGGTTCCCACCAGCCCGCATGACCGGGAATGGGGGGTAGGGCGGAGGGAGTTAGAAAGAGAGGAGACGGGCGTACGGTGGTTAGCCTGTACTGCACCCAGATGCGATCCGAGCGGAAAGCTTCTGAGTCGTGGAATCCCATCGAGGAGCCAGATTCTAAGGACTTATCAATTCCACACGGGTTACCACTCCCGCTGTGGCTAGGATGGCTCTTACCCGGCACGCTTTCGCCGGGGGTCGAACCTTTGCCCCCCATGGGACCCCAGTGCCGAGTCATCGTCACCCCCAGTCCAGGTTCAGAAAAATGTAGCTGGGATCGGAGATTCGAACCCCTGGCTTGTGGCGCACGGGGTCGACCTTCTACGGGCGCGGCTACGACGCCACAGTGTGGGTAGCCGGGCGAGCTAGGCTAAAGGCACGAGTCAGCGCAGTAGCTTGAGCGGGAGAAGGAGAAGAACCGGTTCCATCACGACACCCTCTCACCTGACCGGCCTCCTGGTTCTTTGATTTCGCTGCGAAATTTGAATTCTAAGTCGGGGGTTCTAATACTCGACGCGCCTTCAAATTATTCGTTTTTATGTTTGAATTTTTACGCATTGTACGAGAAGCTCGACTAGTTGGCAACCCGCGCTGGGGTTCGAGTCCCACCTAGGACCCGGCCGGCCCGCCTTTTTTCTCTCTCTTTCTCTCTTTCCCACGCCGCGTTATCGTTAGGCTGTGTTTCTAGTCGTTGTGCTACAAGTGCGGTCCCTAAGCCGAGTTCGTAAAGGTGTCGGGGCGGGGACTCCCGGGTCATGGGTTCAAGCCCTGCCGCCGGCTCTTTTCTTTTCTTTCTTTTTGTTGGTGGCCCGGTTCGAATGCTACAATCAGAAAAAGCTTCCATCCAACTCACGGGGGCTTGAGTCCCACCGGTAGCTGGGTGAAGCGATTTCTTCCTCTTTTGCTCACACACACACACACACACACACAAAAAAAAAAATGCGCCGGCGGCAGGGCTTGAACCCATGACCCGGGAGTCCCCGCCCCGACACCTTTACGAACTCGGCTAAGGGACCTGAGCGGTGCACGCACCTACCTATTGCCACTGGGAAGACGTACAACTCGATCGTCGAAATGACGACCATGAGGATGAAGAGCGGTCGCGTTTCCATCATATATCGGGGTGCCTTGACGTGGTACCAGGGGTCGTTGCGGATGACGGCGAGGATCATGAAGAAGGAGCCAATTATGGATAGCACCGAGTAAGTTCGTATGTAGCGCCGCAACAACGTTGCGCTCCGCCTCTCGCAGTGCTCGTTGAGCGGCAGGGCCTGGCTGGCCAAAGAGCGTTCCATCGGCGTGAAGTCGTCCAGGATCTCGCGAACGGCCATGATCTGTTGGGGCACCGTGGTGCTTCAGGGGCTTCCCGACTGACGAGCCTTGGAGGGCACCCTTCCTACCCACCGTCACGGCGTGCCTCTGCAGGTGGATCATTTTGAAGCAGCAGAGACTGGAGCCGAGCGCGTCCGCCAGGAAGCCGAAGAGCTCCACGTTGTTGTCGTGCTCGCCCAGGCCGAAGTACACCAGCTGCGGCACGCCCGACGCGGCGAAGGTGAGCGGCAAGAAGTACTCACCGAGCACGCGCGCGAGCGGCCCGCGACCCTCGGGCCAGGAGCAGATCATCCGCAGGTAGTGCACCACGACGTCCAGGGCCTGCGCACGCACAACAACGTCAACGATGCGGGCGAGCCGACGGGTTCACCCCCTCAGCAAGCAGATCGGTGCGCACCGCGGTATGGGCCCGCGGCTCCGGGGCCGCCGTCGTACTCTCCAGGGTGTCCTCGGTGACGTCGACGCGGGCGGTGCCGCTAACCCCTGGCATCACGCACGACGACACGGCTGCGACGGGGTCTTGCGAAGAGTGGCAGTCCTGGGAGCGCGACCTGGAGTGGGGCCGGGTAGGGACGAGGCGGCCGAGGTGGAAGGGGCGGGGGAGGGACACAACGCGTGGCAGGGCACAGATATTATTGCCCCAGAATAACGAACGAATGCATTGATCAGTAAAAATTAATGGTGAACGGAGCAAGAGGGGTGAGTGGAGGGGATAGGTCCG